CTCAGTATCTTGCCCAGGATGGCCTTGAACTTGAGCTCCTCCTGGCCTGTCTCCTGCGTGATGGGTTTGCAGGCATATACCACCATACCTAGCTTGTCTCTGTATATTGATATGAAGCTTACCCCAATACACTGCTACATTAAAAATAAAAAAGCAAGATGCAGAGCAGTAAATTCAGTGCTGCTTTTAACTAAAAACAGGGGAGGGATATTTGTAACAGATGCATATAAACACTGACACACAGGAACCTAACTAACAGGGATTATCCTGGAAGATATGGAGCAGTCAGATAAATACTCTGGGCCCATGGGTGGCAAGAAAGGGAGACTTCTCATCGCCTCCTAGTTATATTTAGAAAAACTCTGGGAGTATATCACCTATTTAATTGATTACCTCTATGACAACAGAAGTAACTCCACCTAATCAGAAAAAGCATGAGCCAGACCCTAATTGGGGCAGAGTCTATCTATAAACTAACTGGCCAGTACTCCCCCAAACTGTCAAGATCATCAAAAACAAAGAACGATTGAGAAACCAGGACAGCCAAGAGAGACCCAAATCCATGGCAGGACAAATCCATGGAATGTGTTTTCTGTTCTGGGATTCAGAACAGAAAAAGTTAAAAACTAAAGAAATCTGAAAAAAGTACAGACTTTGGTTGATGATAGCACATCAATATGGCTCATTAACTGTAACAAATTCACTACATTCATGCAGGATGTTAATAAAGGGGAAACTGAGTGTGGAATATATAGGAACTCTATTATAATCTCAACTTTTCTAAAAATCTAAAACTCTCCGAAATATTTAGAAAGATTTTTTTAAAGCCATTGAAACCATGAGGTAGGGGGAGGGGGGGACTCAAGTAAGGACCAAGCACGATGACCTTGGCAAGTCACTTAATCACTTAATCTCCCTTAGCTTCCTAATGCACAGTTCAGGAGAGGAACCAAAGGGTCTCTATCATGGATTCCAGCTCAGTAAATCATGACACCTTCCCGTGAGAGCTCCCTCCCAGAAAGCTGCATGCACAGTTCTTGGCTTCAGAACTGGCTAGAGAAGGCAGTGGGCAGGTGAAGACAGATGTCTTCCCCCTCACACTCGCCCCCCATAACTACCAAGACTCAATTTCATTCATCTTTCATCCAGCAGTGTCAGGCACTGTTCTAAGCACAGAGGACACAGTAATGATAAACCCAAAAAACTCCCTGACCTCACCTAACTCATGTCCTAGTTGGCGGAACAGATGATGAATCTGAAAAGTAGGTTCATTCGGTGAATAAATGCTAGGGAAAAAGAGAAGGGGATGGAAGGAGATAGGAAGAATGTGGGACGGGAGGTGGCAGCTTTGGTTGGGAGTGGCCAGGTTTGTGGGCTGGATGGAAGCTCACTATGCTGCTACCTGGGAGGAGAATAGTCCAGGTAGGAAGAAGAGCCTGTGGTGTCTGGGTTTTAACAGGATCGCTCTGAGTGAGATTTGAGAATAGCTAAAGGAATCAAGTACAGAAGTGGACCCCAGTTCTGCAAGAGACAGGGACCTCTTGAAACAACTCTGGCAGGGGTGGAGGGGATCCAGCGAGGAGAGGGTGCCATACTGCAGTACCTTCTCCCTCCCCTCAGGCATTCAGCCCTGGGGTTGAGTCAACCTGTCCTGTGGCAGGCAGGCTCTTCCCCTGTGGCCCTGAAATCAAACCCTGCATCTGTGGAAGAAGAAGCCTCACCAAGAAAGGATGGCCATGAATGAAAAGGCCCTTTCCTTCTTCAAAGAAGAAAAACAAACGAAGTCCACCTTGGTTTTCCAAAACCCCAGAGTCCAGCCAACTGAAAATACCTGTGAAGAGAAACTCCAACCCATGAGCCCAGATGCACATGGCCCTATGAAAAAGACCCTGTTATTTAAGTAGTATGTAATTGTCCCACATTATTGATACTAACACCTCTCAGAATAGTTCCAAAACCAGGCACAAGAAAGACAGGTTATTACCAGAGCAGGTGGGCACTGAGGGCCTTGTGCCTAAGTACTTAGATATTTTAACTCTCCGTGGCCTCAGTAGCTAAATAGCATTCCGAACAAGCAGGAGAGGAATACTAATTACAGCTAATTAGACCCTGCCCTCTTCTGCCTCAATCCCCTTCATGAAAAGTCCCCCTGACTCAACATGATGGAGTCAAAATGTGAATCTAAAGGGTAAACAACAGTCTACAAACCAAGACAACGCTTTACATCTCATTGGCCTGTCACTGCAAAGCCTGGGCCTGGTTACCTGAAGGGCACTGCAAACCAGCAAAATTCTAACAGAACCTTAACAGACCATCACCCACTCCCAGGGTAGATGGGGATACATGGGCGAGCGAGGGGAAGGGGGATGCCAACATGAATCCTCTAAATAAAACAAAGGGCTCTTAGTATTCAGAGCATTCTAATTTGCAGGACATTCATTAAAAGAGCATTTGATTACTTAAAACAAAAAAAAGGAACTATGATAGCAAACATAGCTCCAGTCATGCAGCAGGATCAAAACCACACTCCCCTGTCTTAAGAGAGGAAGGATGTGGGGAAAGGTCTCATCCCTGTGAGATCCTTCCCAGGCTTTGTGGGGAGACTGCCTGCGAGAGTCCAGTCTAGAAGCTCTTAGCTACAGAATAGTAAGAGGATGACCTGATGATAGGGGGAGGGCAGCCTGGCAAGGACTTGTTTAAAATGAACTATAGTAGTTTGTGTCTGTAATTCCAGCAACTTTGATGGCAGAAATTGGGAGGACTGAGGTTTGAGACCAGCTCTGGCAAAAAGTTAACAAGACCCCCATCTCAATAAAACAAGCCAGGTATGATGGCACACCCATCATCCCAACTAAGAGAGAGGCTTAGGTAAAAAGATCTGGCCAGCCTCAGAGGAAAAAAAAAGTGAGACTCCTATCCGAATAATCTAAAAAAGCAAAAAGGCCTGGGTAGGCATGGCTCAAGTGGTAGAGCACTTGCCTAGCGAACATGAATCCCTGAGTTCAAATTCCAGTACTGTCAAAAAATTAAAAAATGAGCACCTAAAGCTGGATTTTCTATCATTGGTCTAGAAACAACCTGTACAGTACCCTTCTTTCTCTAGGTAGATTTTTCTTTCAAATCATATTCAAACTCTGGAGAAACTACATGCAGTGCTTCAAGAAAAAAAGAGGGGAAGGAAAAGAACAAAAAACAAAATTGCTTGAAGTTGTCTCAACAACACTGGGATACTGAGACAAATGACACAAGATGAGGCAGCCCCTTCTGACGTCGCAAAGTGCCAATGCGCTAGGAGGAAGGTGGCCAATCTGGAGGCCAGTGACCAGCTTGTTCTGCCACAGTTCTGCTGATCCACAGAGGCTGGCAGTACTCTGACAGGAAATGGCAGAAGACAAGCCTGTGGTCAAGAGCTGGGCAATAAAAAAAGGAACCCTGAAGGCACTGGAAATAAGCCACCTCAGCTCAAGCTTTTTCCCTTACCTAAGCTGAGTCAGGAAGGATAAAGAGCGGGAAACCAAACAACCTTGGTGACTGGTCCACCCTCTCACCCCAAAGCAGGAGAGGGGGCAGTGGTCACTTGGCCCTTTTGGGCCCATCTGCCAAATAAAGATCCTTGTGAAGCTGTTCATGGACTTTGAATAAGGGACGTCACAATGCAAATGGAAGAAGCCTTTTAAAAAAGTCTTTGCAACTGGAAATATTTGAGTTTTTATTAGTGTCACAAAAATGTCAAACTGGAAGGGAACTAGAACAGTTCTTAATCTTCTGAACGTCACAGAAAATGAGAAGGGGAAATTAATATAGGGTTGCTGGGTTTCTTATTTATTCTGCCAAAAAAATTTTAAAACCACCATCACTAAAAAGTCTTAGAAGAAAATTTTTCCACCAAAAAATAAAGCCGGCATAATTTCAAACTGAGAGTGAGTCCTCCTGATACCAGGGTCGGTCGACAAGGATATGCTCCATTGTGTGATCCGGGCTACATCTTCCTTCTCTTTGCATTTCCCTGGGGACCCATTAAAACATCAATGAAGGACAGTGGTTACCAGATGGTTGTCTGGAACCCACTGATCTATTTATTCCAGGCTCTGGAGTGATTATTTTCCCCAAAAAGAAAACTTGCACAGTATTCAGTTTGAACTGGGGCCTGAACGAAGTTTTTGTTTGCTCAGAACGCTTTCCAACTGCAATCTCCAAGGCCTTCGTGTAAGTGAGACGCGATAGGGGGCACAGTTCTCCCCTGGCAGCCGGGCAACCACTTGGCTCACCAGTGAAGGTGAGTAGAGCAACCCAACTCACAGTTACTTCCTAAGGAAAGCAGAAACTTTGGAGATCCTGCTGTGGTCTGTTTGGAGGAGAAGGCGGCGGCCGCGGCGGCGGCGGCGGCTCATCAGTCCGGCAGCCCCATCGCCAGGCACCATCCTTCTTCTGGGGGCTTCGTGACTGTCACTCTCAACTTCGAAACTTAAAGTGGGTAACTGAGAGCCCCCTGCACTGCCTCCAGTCCACCCAAGTGTCAGCTAAGGCAGTCTAAACAACCCCTGCCCTCCGCTCCATAATCCTCCATGGTTAGGGCAACGTGAGGCTGGCAGTGTTTGTGACTCGCCGGATGAAGCCAGTCAGAAGGATAGGATCGGAAGGTCCCAAGTGGAGCCGTGGCTCGGGACGCAGTCTCCCCTCGAATTTACAGTGCGGAGGGTGGGCACATCTTTAAAGGAAGGCAGTTGGCCCAAGTGCAGAGAAACTCTGGGACCCGCTACCGGGCCGGTGCAAGAGGCCAGTCCCGCGGAGTCGCCGGGGCGCCACATTTTGGACCCAGGGAAGACCCCGGGTGCCGCGCCTCCCCCGGAGCAGAGCAACCGGCCGCATCACTCCGCGCCTCCCCGCCCGCCCCCGCTCCCGGCCACAAGAGCCGCTTTGTGCGGGCGACCCAACGCAAAGCTGGCGGCAGCCCTCGGGCGCGGGCGCTCACGGGCAGGGTCATTAGCCGGGCCCGCTGTTTACACAGGAAGGGAAGGCTCCTCCTCGGCCCGGGAGGGGACGGGAGACCGAGACAGCCCAGCGGGCGGCGGGCTCGCGGTGGCGCACGCACTTCGGAAGTGCCCCGCGGCGGCTGGCCCGCGGCGGCTGGCCACCTGGAGAGTCCCAAGTCGCCCTCCGCCACAGGCAACGCCTCCCGCCGCGGCTCCTGCGGCTGCGTGCGCGACTAAGTTTCTTTGGGCACCGCTGGCGGCGCGGCTTACCTGCGAGGCGCGGCACGAGCGCGCAGAGCCCGAGGAGGCAGGCGTACAGGGACGCGGGCGCCCGCGGCATGGTGGGCGGCGAGCTCGGCGGGGGCCGGGGCGCGGGGGTTGAGGACTGGGGGCAGTAGCCGCATGCCCGGCGCGAAGCTCGGACTCACGGCGCCCGCGGCCGGGCCGGAGGCGGTAGCGGCTGTGCTGGCTTGAACCCAGCCGCCACCATCCCTCCCGCAGCCGAGCCCCGGGGCCGCAGCCGCCGCCGCCGCTGCTGCTGTCGCCGCTCGGGACGGCCCAGGCCAGTGGCTCTGGGCAGGTAGGGCGCGCGTCGGCCGCGACTTGGGCTCCGGGACGCGCCCCGCACTTTAGCTGCTTCGCGCGCCAGCACACTCTGCCCTTGGCCTCCACCCCTTCCTTTCCTCCCTCCGGCCCGCCAGGCCCCACTTTCCTCCGCTCCTTTCTCCTCCCCTTCCCTCCCCCACAGGCCCCCGCCAGGCCGCACACGGTCAGTTTACGGCGAGGAGGGGCGGGCGGACGGGGCGGGGCGAGTCCCGGCCCGCCCAGCTCCGCCTGCGCTGGGACCAGCCGGCGACGCCGAGGCCCCCGGGCGCCCAGGTGGAAGTCTCTTCCCGCGCACTGGAGGGCTAGGGGCTCCTTCCAGTGTCCTAGCAGCCTGTCGCTACGGGAGGGGGCGGGGGGACGCTGCATTAGGGGAGCTGAGTTTACTTGTGCAGAAGGCGAGCTGTCGTTAGACTGCAGGAGGGACAACAGGTACAGTGGGATTCTGCGTGGCCATCTCGTCCTCCCAAAGCCACAGCAGCAGCGTCGGCCTCCGCGAGGTGAGGCGAGGCGCTGGCGCGTGCAACCACAAATCAACGCCCTGGTGGGGAAGGGAGGGGACGTGGGCGTGGAGACACAGGTAAAGCCCACTTTCACTTGTGAACCTTTTGCCCCGCTTCAGGTTTCTCAACTGGCCAATATGCCACTCGTTTTTAGTTTTCTGGCAGTTTCGGTGATCAAATTCAAAAGCAAATGCCTTATCATTTACACCCGAGCTGGATTTGAAGTGGACAATAAGGGACTAGGTGGGAAACTTCTCAGACAGCTCGTGGGAAGCTGGGCTTGGCAGGGGCACAACCAATGTGTGAAGACTGAAATGGTTTATAAGCAAGATAAGAGGCGGTATTCGGATAGAAGGAAGTAATGTTAAGATGCGTAACACGACACCATGCTAAATGCTATCTAACCGGTATGAACTCACAGAATACGCCCCACAACACTACTCCTATCCGGATAGAAAACTGAGGCACAGAGAAGTTAACTTGCTGGAGGAGGTGACAGCTGGGATATCTTGTTCAAAAGTTCAGAATGGCTGGCTGCAAACAGCAGAAGCAAGAAACAGGGATGGCTCACCTTACAGGTTGGGAACCAGCTGGAAGGAGGGCTTGGAGGGCCAGGTGGAGAACCATCCAAAGGAGCTGGGATCTCCTTGGGCTTTATTTGTGCCCACCCTACCCTCATCTCCTAAACTCTACCAAGGTGGTGCCCTAATGCTGGTGGAAGTGAAGTTATGCTTGCAGTATAACTTCGTCTTTGCCTGGAGGCAAAGAGTCAGTAGCAAGCTCCAAATTTCACTGAAGGTGGGCTTTCATCTTCTAAGTGCATGCAAATATCCTTATATTCTATAATGTCCTCAACGTTTATTCTGATGTAAAAATCATGTTTGTCCTCATTCTTTTTTTCAATTTTTATTTATTTTATTATGTTATTGTGCTGAGGCTACATTGTGACAAATAACAGTTCTTACAATATATCATAATTGAATCCACCCCCTCCATCATTCTCCTTTATCCTCCCTCTCCCCATTCCTGAAATAGTTTCAACAGATCTCATTTTCCATTTTCATACATGAGTACATAAGATTTCCACCAATTTCACCCTCCTGCACCCTTTCCTTATATCCTTTCCCCTCCCACTAGTACCAACCCCCTCCCAGACAGGACCCCACACATATTCCAGTAAAATCAGTGTTGCAGAACCTGCCCCAGTTTATTTTAGAATTACCTGTCCTTAGCCAGTGACCTTGGAGCTTCTCTTATTCCAGTATGAGAGGCAGTGATTATGAGTAATAGGAGCTAATGAACTGGCAGATATCATATGCAAAGTAGTCACGGACCAAATGGTGATTTTAAAAGATTTGTCTGGCAGGAACACATAGAATGGAGTAGATGGAAGGAGAGTTGAGTCCTGGAAACTGGGTGAATAATGCATTAATAAATACAATAATAAGTTGCCTATACCAAGCATTCTTCTGTGCACTTCTCTACCCCAAATTGGGTGCTTCCTAACTGTTGGAATATCACTTTATCTCATACCCACCACAGACCACATTTCCCTGAACTGTACTGGAAAGTGCTGTGAGTCAACTTGCCCCTGCTCTTGTTCTCTTCAGCCACCCCTCCTGTCTCACCTGGTGTTCCCAGCCTGACTGGACCTGCCATAAACCACTAATCCCAAGGGATCCATGCCCCATTATCTTAAAACTTATTTGGAGATTCCTTTTCTAATTCTGAGTTTTTGTGCTCTGGCTTGTGCCTTTTTTTTTTTTTAATCCTACCCAGGAATCCTTCACCTGAGTGTCCATAGATGAATGAATAAACAAAATGTCATGAACTATTATTCATCCTTAAAAAGGAATGAAATTCTAACACATGCTACAACACAGATGCACCCTGAAAACATGCTAAGTGAAATGAGCCAGACTAAAGGGACAAATACTGTATAAGTCTGCTTAAATGAAATCTCTAGACTAGGCAAATTGATAGAGACAGAAAGAACAAAGATTACCAGAGGCTGGGGGGAAAAGACAACTGGGATTATTAATGGGTACAGAGTTTCAGTTTAGGATAACAGAAGAATTCTGGGAACTGGATGGTGGTAATGGTTGTACAATGTGGTGAATGTACTTAGTGGTACCAAATGGTACACTTAAAATGCTAAATTTTGTACCATGTATTTTTTTAACCATTGAAAAACCATTTAGGAGAGCTGGAGGAGTGGCTCAAGTGGTAGAGCACCTACCTAACAAGTATGAGGCCCTGAGTTCCAGCCCCAGTACCACCAAAAAGCAAACAAACGGAGCACTTAGGGCTGGGGATATAGCTATGTGGTGGAGCACTTGCCTCGCATGTCCTAGGCTAGCGAAGTTCTGGGTTTGATCCCCAGCACTGCAAAAACAACAAAAAACACTTTAAAAATCAGATTAGTTAAAACTTTTCCATCTCACAATTCAGGTTTACATGCTAATTCATTCCCATAGTGAGTTGTCGTATTGTGCACTTCGGTTTATAATCCACGTAAAAAATATTCTGATACAGAGCTGCAGCTTAATATACAGGAAAAACAAGGATGCTAAAGTGTTCACCCTAGTTTAGGAAATATGCTTAGTTTACTCTGTTTTTAATAATCATTGCCTGGGTTTTATCATAGTGCAAGAAATAAATAACCCTGCTAAAAGAGTATGACAAAATTCTTTTGTAGAGATTATTAGACCTTTGAAACATGGATATAATTTAATCTTGAGATTAACTTTTTATTTGAAAAATACCATATTATATTCCTTTTAACAGGAAAATCTTCTGCCATAGGTTTTTCTCTCCTTGTGCACCATGATGGTTGTTAGGAAAATAAAATTCCCATGCCAGCTCTCAACCAATAAAGGACTGCTGAGGATGGACCCAAAAGCAACATCTGTATAACAGATGAACTTGGGAATGGCAGAGGACAAGAGGGTTTGTTTCCCTGTTTGTGAACTGGACATAGTAGATCCTCAGTAATATTTGTCTCTTCGTTTGTTTGTGGGTTAAGCATGAACATTGTGGTAATGTCAAGTGTGAGGCAGATGGAATTTTACCTAGATGAATGGAACACCAAACAGGTCTTTTTTTTTTTTCCTCCTTTATTGCTGGGTGGGGGTACACTGTGGCATTTACAAAGGGACTTACAACATATCAAATGTGTCACATTTGAACACACTTGATTCACCCCTTCTACTGCTCTCCTTTATCCACACGCCATTCCTGGAATAGTTTCAGCGGGTATCATTTTTGCATTTACATACATGTGTACACATTTTTTTGCACTGTATTCATCCTCCTACCCTCTTTCCCCATCACTTCCTCCCTCCCACTGGTACCAAACCACCACTACCACCAAACAGGTCTTGATAGAAAAATTTCAATGATAGAGAACAGTGTTTTGTTTATTGTTGCTTTCAGTGCACAGACATAGCTTTAAGTCATAGAAATGTCATATTTCTCTGAGTCTGTTAAGAAGTACACATAAGCATTTTAAATTTATTTATGGAGTAGCTAGCATATCCTTAGTAAATAAGTGGTATGTTCCCAGTAATTCAAATAATTATTGATTTTAGAACTACTCATTGCTTATTATATCTTTCTGAGAGCAATTTTTCAAAGATTAGCTTTGAAACTATTTTAAGATGACATATTCCAGAGGGAATGTATATTTTTCAGCTTTTATGAGCTGAAATACTTAAAAATAATATCTATTAATAAAATTATAGTAAGGATTATGACATTTTTCACACTTAATTTCTTTTTAGACATCATTTCTTTAAAATTGTCAGTAGGCCTTAGACCTACAGGAGGTCCCTCCCGGAGTCTTTCTCTAAATTCCCCTTCTCCGCTCCAGCAAAGCAATCAAAATCTGTTTCTCTTTTCCTAGAAGTTACCCAACAGTGCCTAAAGGATGGAGACTCTTTTCCAGTTATTTCAGAAAAAAAGTACAATGAATGAAAACAAGAGAGGAGAGAGAGAGATTAAATTAGTCATGTTTAAAGGCTTTAGGAATAAAGGAGTGAGCCAGAGGTAGGGAAGGGACACAGGACAGTTATAGCCTGGGAGAAATGTCACAGGAGCAGAGTGATAGGACAGAGGCCCTGAACGCTGCAGCCACAGTGAGAGACAGAGATAACTGAAGATCAAATGAAAGAAACCAATTGTCAGGAATGCTCTGGAAGCTGTGCCAGCATTCTCCCATTCTCAGGACCACTTTCTTTTTTTTGGCAGGGGCGGGGGGGGGGGATGCTGAGGTTTGAACTCAGGGCCTCATGCTTGTTAGGCAGGCACTCTTACCACTTGAGCCACTCTACCAGCCTTAGGACCACTTTCTTTATTTTTCCTTTTACCTCCACTCCACACTCCCTTTCTTGTCCCCAGGCCCTCTCCTATACCTTGTCTTGAGTACACCAGTGATCCTTACGACTGTGTTTAGCTAGCCATCCAGCAGCCTTTCAAAAAGCAGACAAACTTCTTGGGGGCCATGTTTGGAGTTGGAGTAGGGAATGGAGGGTAAGCAGCTGCTTGAGAACCATCTCTGTAGGGAGCCAAAGGTTAGCCACCGGCCTGGGACCCAACTTTCATCTGTTTGCCTGGCTGCTGACCCTTTTATAGGATATAGTCATGCATATTCAATTGCAAACTGGGGGAAAACTAGAAACCTGGACCCAGAATCAGAAGAACTGAATTCAATCCTCAGTATCATCAACTAGCTGAGAATTGGTACAGCTGCTTGCTACTCTCTGGACCTCAGTTTGCTCCTCTGGAAAGTGAAGGTGTTTTCCCTGCCAGAGCTGGCTCTGTAATTGCTCCTCGTGAAGTCAAATGTGTTCAGCAGTTGGCAGCAGG